TTGGTAACATAATACATAGAGTAGTTTAAATGTCGGTATGTTTCCTGACGTAGTTTGGAAATGAAATACTCTAATAACAAAAAAAAATTGCAGTAGGTTTAACCTCTGACATATATTTATAAATATATGCAAAGTTCAACTCAAGAAACCCGATGATATGAGTACTCCCGGAATGTATGTCTTCTTTCGTCATGGAAAGATTTGGAATGATCTAGAACTCTAAAGCTAGCAAGTTAAGTAAATTATATTCAGTGATATTATGAGTATCTCATGTAACCCACTCAAAGAGCACAGAAATTTCTAGGCTATTGAAATCGGAATTGACTCAAATCATTTATAATAATATTCGCCGATGTTATAGTAACCTGATTAAACAACCGTAAGTATTTTTATATCTATGGGATTTTTAGACCGTTTTACTTCACCATATAATAATCTAAATTAAATTAGGTATGTGAATAACGTTATGACGTTTCGTCAAATTCATTATTCGATATTACACAGCAGACCAACTGTTTAATAATTGTATATACATATATGTATGAAAGTATTTCTTTTTTGTTTCTGAAAAGAAATGTATCAGATGTAATAAGAGTGGTTTAAGTCCAGAGAGAAGAAAAAAAGAGAATTGAGAAGATAAGAGAATAAATAAGTAAAGAAGAGTTGAATAAATTGAAAAGAAATTTAAAAAATAAAACTAAATGAAAGAAAATTTTGAAGTAAACTGAGTGCAAATATTGAATATAAGTCAATAAAGAAAGATGGTGAAATTGTTTTAATGAATATATAAATAAACATAGCAAGTAATTTATATTAGTTTCTCTATATATCAAGTCTCTGTGGAGTAGATAAAACTACGAAGTGACTTGGCATAGTCTCTATGTAAGTGAAAAAAAACTGATTATTTCTCAGAGAATAAGATAAAGATGAATCCAGAGTTAAGGTTGATGTCATAGTGAGGAACCGTATTCATGATGGAAATCCAATAGGTTCCTTCATGTTTCCATAAACTTTATATTCTATACGAGTTTTGGTGTTTAAGAAAGCCATACTGTTGGTAGAAAGGCCACTGTGGTTAAAACGTTGCACAATTAATTTTAAGAAGTTTGTTCTGATAAGAAGATATCAAATAGTAATTGTTGTAGTCCTCAAATGTCCAGCAATGAAAAAGTGTCAACTGTAGCAGTTGTGTGATTATGTGATTCTTAAAAGTGTCAACTGTAGCAGTTGTGTGATTATGTGATTCTTAAAAGGTTGAACGTGAGAAAGTAAAATTATATTAGTCCTGAAAAATGTTATCAAGAAAAAAATGGCAAATAATGATTGAAGCAATTATTTAATGAAGAGGGTGTGTGTGTGTGAAGCACTCTAGTTAAGAAAGGGAAGGTGATAAAAGTTAGGAAAGAACAAATGGCGTTCAAGGTGTTACTGTGTCTCATTCGACTAATGGTGCAAAAATAGAACAAAGAGAAAGATTTGATGATACGTAAGTTGAACCAACCAACAGAAATGAGCAGTGAACTACTGTGAACAAGTGAAATGGTGGACTTACTAGAAGATGCCACCTACTTAATGGCTTTCGGGACAAAATCTTCTATACAAACAATTAGAACAAATTACAAATGTGAAAATCGATCCAAACAAGAAAGACAAACATACACTAAAATATCAAATACGTAGAACAGAAGAGGAAGAAGATGGAAACAAAATAAACGTGGAGTACAGAACTTCAATAAAGCTAGAAAAAATTTCCTTGAGAATTCAAAATTAATTAAAAACAAAATATAAACTTCCTCAGAAAATAACAGAAGCGTGGTAATGTTTTGGTCAGTGTCCGTAGCTTTTAAAGTGACCCAGTATTTTCTTCAGACATTTAGACAAGTACTACAAACAAAAAAAAAACATTGAAAATATATGATAAGTAATAATTGAAAAAGAAAAAATATAATATAAATATGAACAGAAAAAAAGGGGGGATATAATGATAAAAGAATTAAGAAAGAAATTGATGACCATTGGAAGAAAATCACTAACAGGCATATGGAAGTATGATAAAAATATAAATATAAAATGAAATGTAGTTACAGGGAAAACACTTCCTAATAGTTGGAATATAGAAATGTTCTGATGAACTCATGAGAAGAAGAAAATTAAAAAACAGTGATTGTAAAATGAACAACTGGAATAGGGCAAATAGACTAAATAATGGACGATAAGTTATGATTGCTTCAAAAACAACAAGTAACCCTAAAAATTATAAATATATAATGAAATTGCTTAGAAAAAAAAAATACCTGCAAAGGGAATATTGGACATGTTAGTAAAGTCGTGTTGGTGATAAACCTATTGACTCTTTCACTACACACACACACACATATATATAAGGGAAGTGTGTGTGTAGTGAAAGAGTCAATAGGTTTATCACCAACACGACTTTACTAACATGTCCAATTACATATATAAGGGAAGATTGGACATGTTAGTAAAGTCGTGTCGGTGATAGCAATAAACTTATTGACTCTTTCTACTACACACACACACACACACACACACATATCATCATCATCATCTGCTTGTAGCTACTCCACCCAGAAGATTAGTTATCAACGGTTGTCATGCCCGTCTGTCCTCTACCTTCTTCACACGTTAATTGTAGCTAGACTGGAAACACACCGTGACATCTGTGACCCATTTTATTTGCGGCCGACCTCTTTTTCTACAGCTTTCCATCCTGTCCTCTATCAAAGGTCTTTGAATCTTATTTGTTCTGATAATGTGTCCAAAATACTGACACTTTCTTATTTGGATGTCTGCTTTTAGTGTACGCTTTATTTTGGCCATTTCCGATATTTGTTTTATAATCTGTATGTTATATTTTCAACATTCTTCTAAGCATCCACATTTCCAACGCTCCTATTTTGTTCCAGAGTTATTTGGTTAGTGTCCAAGTCTCTGCAGCATACAGAAAGATGGATACTACATAACATTCTATAAGTTTCTTTTTGTCTTTAACCTAAAATTTCTCATTGTTAATACACCTTTCATACGGATGAAATTTGTTCTTGCAATTTCTGTCCGTCTCTTGACTTCTGCCTCACATTTACCATCTTCAGTTATTAGTTGCCCCAACTAGACAAACTTGTCCACTCGTTCTGTTGTGTCACCACACATATATTTATTTATTTATTTCCTATTTTAGAGTACTGTCATGTGATTTTGAATTTTTTGCCACCATGAAGAAAGGGTATTAAACTTCACACTTCCTAAAATTTGGCATTTTCAAATTTCAGATAATTAATGAAATTTTAATACATGTTTTTGTTTGGTGGGCGTGGACCTAAATGTAAACCTGGCACAGTTAAGAAGATCTAAAAGGTCGGTGTAACATCCTCAGGATGGATTGCTGAACCAAGCGAGAATGGTGTTAACACCGATGTCGGCTGAATCCACTTAGGAGCTAGAGAAATGAAGAGTAACATTCATCTCCGAATCAGCCTGGATTGCTTGACTATTACAAGAAAGTTGCTGAACGACTTTTGAGACTGCATACTGTTTGTTTGTTTTTTATAGATTTCGCGCAAAGCTATACGAGGGCTACCTGCGCTAGCAGTCCCTAATTTAGCAGTGTAAGACTAGAGGGAAGGCAACTAGTCATCACCACCCACGGCCAGCTCTTGGGCTATTCTTTTACCATCAAATAGTGGGATTGACCGTCACATTATAACGCCCCCATACTGAGTATGAACGATAATAGAATCCATTAAATTAGAATTATGTACTAACAGAAGTTGGAAAGAAAATTCCAATAATATATCTTGTTTCATATGAAAATTGGACAGCCAATATATCTTTGAACTTGTCTGGTTAGTTGGACGGGTCTGTATATAAAGGCGTTTGGAGCGAGCCTTCTTTAATCAAATAAAGAAAAGATTTATTATAAAGCCTTTCGAAAATATCCAACAATGAATCCTAAGAAGTAATGATTCGGTTTGCTTCTCAGAAGAAAACTACTTTAATGTTAATCATGAGTGTTTCTAGGGAAAACAAATTCTAAACTGTTTAATAAGGTTGCTAACCAGCAGTAAGAAGGACAGAAGGAAGGTCGTGGGAAGAAAGATGAACATCCATATTCCTCAGAAACATATTACATATAAACTTTCAGGATAAGACACAAGACAACATACGTTTGTAAAATGACAAGAAAAGGGAATACGGTAAAAATATCCCTGGGTAGACGGAAAGTGCTATTTTATTTTATATTTATTTTCTTCATTTTATTTCAGACAATATAACTAAAGTTGGATTAGCTTATTGTATTACTTCTAAATATTAAACAAATGTATTCACTAACCCTCATTTTATCATCTCGTTATAGTAGAATAATTAAAATCAAGAAACCCAGATACATAAAACATGCATTTAAGAAATGTTTCTTTAAAAATGGGGCATTTCGTGTTTACACGACATTAAAATATACGCATATGTTTATTAATTATTATGAAGCAAAACTGACATTAAGTTTTAATGTACAAACGAATTATTATTCTTTCCCTACCTTGCACAGTCTTTCGTTGTATAAACGTATAAAACACAAATGTGGTTCATTTATTTTCGTATATTCACTTCTGATTGAATCTTTTTGGTAATACTCTAGAATTTATAATTTCTGATTTAAAAACGCAAAATTATTGAAACACTTAACTTGTTTAAACATGTACTACACTTAACTTCATTTTATGGTAAATAAAAAATATCAAAAACTTTATTTGGAACGACTCAATTATGTTCTTATAATTTCCTATGCAAAAACTTGTTAAAGTAACTTTTAAATGTAGTTTCATTTTAACAGGGAAAATGTTAAAACAAAAGAAACTACTTTTAATTGTTTATACTGGTTATAAGACATTCGTATTAGGCTTATCATATCTTAAACACTACATTTTATATCTAGTCCCTTAGTGATTTTTAAGAACTAAAAAGATGTATAATAATATTCCAACCTCACTATATCTGTCATATTCATTCCAACGACGCGTTTCCCTTAATCCAGGCTCATCAGGCCAGTTGGGATACAATAAACACAATAGTAGTCGGAACCCTATTTATATAACTTATTTGTTACAACAGCAACAGTTATATTGTGAACACCTTTTACTAGCTGGCAACGCATGATTGTAATTAAATTATACTTGTCATTAATATTAGGCCTGTTATATTTTTTAACACTACATTCTATATCTAGTCCCTTATAATACAATTATTTTTAAACACTACATTCTATATCTAGTCCCTTATAATATAATTATTTTTAAA